CCCCACGCCCCCGGACCTCACACCACTGATTAGTGATTATCACGGAACCACGCTCCAAAGTCGCATCTATTGAACAACCACAGGAGGAGAGAGCTCTCCGTCCCACGCTTCTGCGTGCGTGGGCCGGCCGTGGAACGTACCTACCGCAAAGCCACCACATGCCTGGGGACAGGAAGAAACACTGGCACCTTAACAAGACGAGGGGTGAGATTAATGGCGCCCCCAGACAATCTGTTTCCACTGGGTGCAGAGAAAACTAATTTTTGAAGACGTTTCATCTAGCTTTGCAATATTCTGCAGTTGAAACGGTGGATGATGCTGGGAACTTCTCTCTCTTAGCCCTTAAGCCAGCGGTTCTCAACCTGTGGGTCGCGGCCCCTTTGGGGGTCCAACGACCCTTTCACAGGGGTCGCCTAAGACCGTCGGAAAACACATCTATAATGACATATTGTTTTGGTGATGAATCACTATGCTTTCATGGTGTTCAATTTGTAACCATGAAATTGGGGGTCACCACAACATGAGGAACTGTATGAAAGGGTCGCGGCATGAGGAAGGTTGAGAACCACTGCTTAAGTTTATTGTTGTTCTCAACCTTCCTCATGCCGCGACCCTTTCATACAGTTCCTCGTGTTGTGGTGACCCCCAATTTCATTGTCACAAATTGAACATCATGAAAGCATAGGGATTCATCACCAAAACAATAGGTCATTATAGATGTGTTTTCCGACGGTCTTAGGCGACCCCTGTGAAAGGGTCGTTCGACCCCCAAAGGGGCCGCGACCCACAGGTTGAGAATCGCTGCCCTAGGGGATTTGGGATGAGTGAGAGGAGGGGCGAGTGGGGATTCCACTTACCAGCCCAGGAGAATGGCCACACGAATGGCCCAGGCTGGGCACCCTGTCTCCTTAGAGCACCAGGCTCCTCTCCCCTCCCCCCTCGCCTCCTGGCCAGGATGGCACCATGGCTCAGCCACCCCCACTCCAAGCCTCCTCCAGAGGCCTCCCACTGAGACACCCCCCTCCTCTGACCTCTTCCTCGCAGAAGTGTACACCGGCGAAACGCTGCTTGTTAGAACGCGCCTGTCGCCACCTCCCGTCTTGTTTTGTTTCCCAAGAAAGGCTGCAAAAAGGCTTTGTATGGCCTCTCGACTAGAAATTTCCTCTCATTTCTTTCCCCCATTCAGACCCCCGCCCGCCTACAGTATTCAATAGACGCCGAGAAACAAATGGGTGTTTGTTCTCTTCGAACATAATTTCAAAACCCGAATGAAAGCCAGGACTGAGCCAGCACGGCCAGCTCGCCTGGTGGAAGTAGTTAGGGCTCTACACCCACAGACGCCGGCCGATCCTTTCACAGGGGTCGCCTAAGACCGTCGGAAAAACACATCTATAATAACCTATTGTTTTTGTGATGAATCACTATGCTTTCATGGTGTTCAATTTGTAACCATGAAATTGGGGGTCACCACAACATGAGGAGCTGTATGAAAGGGTCGCGGCCTGAGGAAGGTTGAGAACCACTGCTTAAGCTTAAGGACAAGGACTGGGTGCGGGGGGGGAGAAGCAGGTGTCATGTCTGGTTGTAAGTCTGGCTTCATGGCAGATGAGCGGGCTGGCTGCCTCGGCTCCGGATGGAAGCTAACAGGGTGTCTTTAGTGAACAGTTAGGGCCGGCCATCGGCCACCGTTCTCCGCTCTGCACCTCCCATGGAAACACCCGCTCTCATCATCCCACATTCGCCTCCCAGAAGCGCAAGAGGTGTTACCTTCCAGAGCAAGGCACCGCGGTGGGCTGGACGACCAGATAAGGTTGTGTAAGCACTCGAGATATTCCGACCCCTCGAGCTTGAACCCGGGGAAGCAGCGGTAGGCAATGACCGTGCCCACCGGGAAGGAGGTCTGGAACTCAGAGATGTTCACGTAGCCGTTGGAAGAAGCCAGTGGCCTCAGGCAGCCTGGGGAGAGGGGGAGCGAGAGGCGGAGTCTTAGTCGGTCGTCTCTGTCCACCCAAGGGATAAACCCCGCTCTCGGATTCCCCCACCCTGACCGTGGCCTCTGAGCCATGAACACCTTGTTCCTAAAAGTTCAGATTTCTGCTCAGTTGGTGTGGCTCAGTGGTTGAGCATCGACCTAGGAACCAGGAGGTCACGGCTCCATTCCTGGTCAGGGCACCTGCCCGGGTTGCGGGCTCGATCCCCAGTACAGGGCGTGCAGGAGGCAGCCGATCCGTGATTCTCTCTCCTCATTGATGTGTCCATCTCTCTCTCCCTCTCCCTTCCTCACTGAAATCACTAAAATATGTTTTTTATGAAGTCCAGACTCATCGAACTGCCTATTCTATTTGTGATGCGCAAATTTGATTTTACAGTTGCAAATGGCACTAGAGCAGTGATGGCAAACCTATGACACGCGTGTCAGAGGTGACAGGCGAATTCATTTTTTTGGTTGATTTTTCTTTGTTAAGTGGCATTTAAATATATAAAATAAATATCAAAAATAGAAGTCTTTGTTTTACTATAGTTGCAAAGATCAAAAAATTTCTATATGTGACACGGCACCAGAGTTAAGTTAGGGTTTTCCAAAATGCTGACACGCCGAGCTCAAAAGGTTCGCTATCACCGGTCTAGAGAATGGGAGGAGTGGGGAGCAGTGAGGAGGGGGGAAACTTACTAAAAACCCAGGGTCGGTGTTCAGCCTGGGCACCCCCATCTCTTTTTTTTTTTTAGGGACCTTTCAGTCCACAGGCCGACGCTCTATCCACTGAGCCATACCGGTTTCGGCCCCATCTCTTTTTTTAAAAAATATTTTTTTATTGATTTCAGAGAGGAAGAGAGAGGAAGAGACATAGAAACATCAAAGATGAGAGTCACTGATGGGCTGCCTCCTGCATGCCCCCTACTGGGGATCGAGCCTGCAACCCGGGCATGTGCCCTTGACCAGAATCAGATCGCTTTGAAAGCTCCCCAAGGAGCCCTGGCCAGTTTGGCTCAGTGGATAGAGCATCAGCCTGGGGACTTAAGGGTCCCAGGTTCGATTCTGGTCAGGGGCATGTACCTTGGTTGCAGGCACATTCCCAGTGGGAGGTGTGCAGGAGGCAGCTGATGGATGCTTCTCTCTCATCGATGCTTCTAATTCTCTATCCCTCTCCCTTCCTCTCTGTAAAAAACCAATAAAATATATTTTTTAAAAAAGAAAAGAAAAGCAAGCTCCCCAAGTAATCCTAACGTGCCGTGCCGTCGGGGCTGACAACCACCGAGTGCCACAGAGGAAAAGGACACGTCGCTGTTTCAACGACAGCGGAGGGGTGTGGGGAGGTTAGGACACAAACTCTGTCCCGCCGTCGCAGAACACGGCACCGACGCCTGCGTGATGAGATGAAACTTTCGAAAAGCCCGTTGTGCTTGGTGTGAGGTAGGCCAGGCACCCTGTGGGGCTGTGGTTCGCACACCCGAGAAAGACCCAGACAGGGGGTCTGCGTGGGCACGAAGATTCACATCCCTGAGGCAGGAACCAGCTCCGAGAACCCCGCAGCGGTGAGCCTGCACCCCGGGAACCTGCGTGCTCCCCGCGTGGACTGAGCCCCGAGGCCACGCTCCCACTTCTCTATAACACCAGCTGCCCCGGGGACGTCCCCGCCAGAATCCGTTCTGCGTGGCATCGCGGTGACTGTGGGAAGTCTCACGGCCTTGGCAGCGGCGTCCCTGGAGGGTTTAACGGCCCCGCAGAGCGGCCTGGCTTCCCGGCGAGAACTAGTTGTGCGGGAAGTAAAGACTGTGTCACGCCAACACCTTGTTCCTTCCGATCACCAGGGACAGACCCCACCAGCTGCCGGAGCCCTTCTCCGAGTGACTGTTGGATGTTGTACACGGAGCACCCAAGAGCCTGCCGCTCGGCAAGCAGCTCCGGTCCTCGCCCCAGCACACGGGGTCTGGGTATCAGGGAGGAACTTCAGGAGGAACTCCCTCTGGGGGGGCCCTGCTCTGCTCCGTGATGGCACCGTGGAGCTCGGAGACTCAGCAGACGCCCCCCGCCACCCCGCCATCAGCCTGCGCTCAGGACGGACCAGGTCTGAGCTGCGTGGGCTCAGCCCTGCCCTCCGGCCGTCCCCTGGTTCTCCGAGTGACTGTTGGATGTTGTACACGGAGCACCCAAGAGCCTGCCGCTCAGCAAGCAGCTCCGGTCCTCGCCCCAGGACACGGGGTCTGGGTATCAGGGAGGAACTGCAGGAGGAACTCCCTCTGGGGGGCCCTGCTCCGCTCCGTGATGGCACCGTGGAGCTCGGAGACTCAGCAGACGCCCCCCGCCACCCCCCCATCAGCCTGCGCTCAGGACGGACCGGGTCTGAGCTGCGTGGACTCAGCCCTGCCCTCCGGCCGTCCCCTGAGCCTTACACGATTATTGTTTGTTTGTTTGTTTGTTTGTTTTTCTGAGCTGACAAGGTTCACAAAAGTGAAATGTGTGAGGGGAGGTGGGGAATCAGGGGGAAAAGGAATCAGTAAGTGAGAACAAGATAAGCAAATTCATCCTCGAACAAGTAAACCTATCGGAGCCTCTGGGCATAGCTGGCACCGAGATGGTACCCGTGCCTCCTTTGGGGGAGTGGACAGTGGACCTTGAACAACCTGGGGTGGGGGGCACTGGACTGAACGCAGCTGAAAATCCACGTATAAGCCTGACCCCTGAAGAAGTTCGGTCGGCCCTCGGTATACGGGGGAGATTGGTGCCAGATCCGAGGATACCCCAATCCGTGGCTGTTCAAGGCCCCTCTATAAAAAAAGACCTAGACCAGCGGTTCTCAACCTGTGGGTCGCGACCCCTTTGGGGGGTCCAACGACCCTTTCACAGGGGTCGCCTAAGACCATCGGAAAACACCTATAATTACAGGTTGTTTTTGTGATTAATCACCATGCTTTCATTATGTTCAATTTGTAACCATGAAAATACATCCTGCATATCAGATATTGACATGACGATTCATAACAGTAGCAACATTACAGTTATGAAGTAGCAACGAAAATAAATTTATGGTTGGGGGTCACCACAACGTGAGGAACTGTACTAAAGGGTCGCGGCATTAGGAAGGTTGAGAACCACAGCCCTAGACCAATGCGCACTATAGCGCTAAGTTCCCCCCCTCAATTAGCTGCTGGCTTTGTGGATTTGTCTCTGAAAGTGTAAATGAACCACGTGTCTCCTTGGAAAACACGATCTATACCACGCTAAACACCACGGAGCACGAGGGTGGGCTGCCTCTGTCGCTATCCGAAGCCTTTGTTTCTTATGGGGCCGTGACTCTTAGGCCGCGACTCGTAAGAAAATGATTGATCTCCTACTACGGGGCGCGCGAAGGAATGTCAGGGCCTGTCGACTACGGTTTCCAAGCACCAAGTTAACATCCGTCTCGACTGGAACGTGCTAGTGACTTTGGGGGCGAGGAAGCTTGCTCTCCCTCGGCCTTGAACTCTGAATTATGCATTGGGCTTCTTGGTCCTTTGGTCTTAGTCACGTGTCGAAAAATAAAAATCAGAATTAATGTGACCCCGAGGGCTGAGGTGCAGAAACAGGGCCCTGCATGTCAGTCCGGGCTAATTTAAACACACACGTGCACACACACACACACACACACACACACACACACACAGGGGAGAGGATAAATATTCACCATGGGGTCTAGACGGAATTTGAATTTGATTATTTTTCTGTTCCTCATACATTATAAAAAGGGATAGCGTTATTAAGAGAAAGTAGACGCAGTAATATTGGCTTGAAATATAGTCTCACCACCACTGAAATAAGTACAGATGTTCTGTTACTTCCATTAAGCACAGGGCAGTTCATCACCGTGTCCACAGTCCAGTTCTGGGCCTCCTAACGCTTACCCTACTTGCGTTTTCCCGGTAGAGGGGACATCCAACATGCTAACGAACTGCCTAGTTCCCATTTAAACTTTAAATCTGGTATATGGCCCGGCCGGCGTGGCCCCGTGGTTGAGCATCGACCTATGAACCAGGAGGTCACGGTTCCATTCCAGGTCATTGGCACATGCCTGGGTTGCGGGCTCCATCCCCAGTAGGGGGCATGCAAGAGGCAGCCGATCAGTGATTATCTCTCATCATTGATGGCTCTCTCTCTCTTCTTTGAAATCCATAAAAATATATTAAAAAACCACAATAACAAACAAACAAACAAAACCTGGCGTACGGAGCTGGAGAAGACGCCGGGAAATGATGGGAGAGAGCTTGCTGATCAAGGGGAAGAGACAGCAGGGCCCTGTGGGCGGCCTGGGTGGCTCTGCTTTCCCGTCTGTTAGACCAGCAGTTCTCAACCTTCTGGCCCTTTAAATACAGCTCCTCATATGGTGACCCAACCATAACATTATTTTCGTCGCTACTTCATCACTGTCATGTTGCTACTGTGATGAACCGTCATGTAAATATGTGATATGCAGGACGGTCTTAGGCGACCCCCGTGAAAGGGTCGTTCGACCGCCAAAAGGGTCGCGACCCACAGGTTGAGAACCGCTGCATTAGAGAACTGTGCGCAGCCTCTACACCACCGCCTGCGGGAAGAAGAGGCAGGAATGACAGCTTCCCGCACGTACCTTGACAGATGGGCAGGTTGTCCCACGTCCCGTCGTCGCGACATAAGGAAGCCAGGTTGTACAGGTCGGGGTACCGGATCTTGAACCCCTCGTGGCAGGTGATGTTCAGCTTGTCTCCGTGTCTGTAGGTCCTGTTCTGGATCTCCGCATCTTCGATGAAAGGGATTCGGCAGTCTGTGGTCGTGGGGAAAGGACTCGTTATCGTTGGAACGTAAAACAGTTGCGGTTCACGGCGTCACAAGGAAGCTCGTGGCTGGGGACCCGCACGGATTTGACAAACGGCCCCCAGTGATCACGCGGCTCAGGTCCCACGGATGAGGGACCGAGTGGGCGGGGCTCCGGACAGCGGAGCTGATGGACGATCTCGTAAATACGAGGAGAAAGACCAGAGTTGGGGATCCACTGGCACTACCCATCGGGTTCCACCCTGTGCACACAGCGCCGTGCAGCCCATCCGGCTGGTCCCACCCAGGCAGGGCCTGCAGGAGAGGGCCTGGGTCTGGTAAGAAAAGTGCTTTGCAGCCCCTCTCTCTCATCATGGATGTTTCTGACTCTCTCTCCCTCTCCTTTTCTCTTTGAAATCAATTAAAAATATATATATATTTCAAAAATAAAAAAAAATAAAAAGGACAGAATCCCATCTGTGCGGGCTAGGAGGCAGCTCTGCACCCGAGGCCTGGCACCCCAAGGCCCATCGTGGGGTTCGGGGAGCTCTTCATTAGCTACAGGACGCTCCCAGGCTGACTGGGGAGCCCTGACCAGCCCAGAACTGCAGTCGGCTGTCACCTCACCACGGCGATCGCTGATCTTTTCTGCCACTGATCGTGCCACAGCTGCCCCGTTCTGACCCAAACTTATTTCCGCTGGATATGTTCTTTCCCCTCCCCTTTCAAGTCGTGACCACATTGAAGCGAAAGAAATCTTTTTAAGAGCAAAAACCAAACGCACACCGAAGCCACAAGGGAGGGAGGGGAGGGAGGCAGTGACTCCTGTGACAAGGAGCACAAAGAAGAAATACTGGAGGCAGGGAGGGGCACCCCTTGGCTCCCCCTTATCTCAGAAGATGGAAAACGAGGAGAGGATATCTTAGGGGGAGGCGTGCAAATGCTTGCCCTCGTGGGCACAGGCTGCTGCTTCTGATAACTCGTCTGAGGCACCAAGGAAGAAATTGTAGATGATAGAAAATGCACATGAGAAGGAAGGGGTTATAAATAAAACGTGTGTAAAGCATCTATTTTGTTTTGGTGAAGTGTCTGCGCTGGGAGACAACCCACTTTCGCACAGGGGCAACTCTAAAAGATGAGTATGACTCACCTGCTTTTGAAAAATGCCCGCACCACCCACAGTCTCAATGAATAAAGGAGTGATCTCCCATCCTTACGGCCACCTTAGCTCATGAGTCAAGTTGAAATCTTTTAATTAAAAATGTACAAGATAGCCCTGGCTGGTTTGGCTCAGTGGATAGAGCACTGGCCTGGGGACGGAAGGGTCCCAGGTTCCATTCCGGTCAAAGGCAGGTACCTCGGTTGCAGGCTCGATCCGCACCCCTGGCTGGGGTGTGTGCAAAGGCAACCAATCGGTGTGTCTCTCTCACGTCGATGTTTCTCTCTCTGTCTCTCTTTCCTTTCCAGTCTGTCTAAAAGTCGATGGGACAATATCCTCAGGTGAGGATTAACAACAACAAATAAAAACCACGCGGCTGTTGGACTCACTGCTAACCTTCTAACGCGGGAGGCCTGGGTGTGTTTTCAGCAAGTCCTTGGTGTAGGCAGTTCCGTGGCACCCACTTTGGGAACCAGAGCCCCGTGTGAATGGTTCTTCCCTGGCTGAGCAAGATGCGTCCCCCATGGGCCTGGGTCTGGGCCATGATGATGTATCAGCCGCCCTCCGTCCCCCTTTCCCTGGGAAACCTCACCTGGGGTCAGGCCTGGGTCTGAACCCCAAGTCTGCCCCGGCTACCCGTGAGACCGCGGGAAACGGAGTCTCCCTGAGCCCCCTCCTTTCTCATCTGGAAAGGGAACGGAGCCTGCTTCACGCCTCTCCACCCAAAAGGAGCTGATCGCCAACCAGAGGACGGATTTGCTGGGAAAGCCCTCGGCTCAGCCAGCTCATTCTCAAACCACGGGCTCTGGGGGCGCCCAACGCTCTGCTAATAAATAGCCTTACGCCAGCGCCCGGGGCTGGTCTGCAACCCTTTCTGGAAGATTCCCATTCAGGCTGACCTGTGGACTCCAGCTTCCCCCAAATCCCTTCTTATTGGCTTAGCATGGATTTTTCTGCAGCTGACTCGCAGCGAGGAACCAATGGGACCAGCGACTGTTCGCAGAGCTGCTCGAGGGAGAAGGTGAGGAGAACAGAGAAGAGCGCTGAGGGGAAAACAGTCCCATAGTAGACAAGCCCCCTGCACAGGAACGGCAGTGCCACGGCTCTCGCTCTCCCTCCCTCCTCAAGGGCAACTCCAGGGGGAAATTCAGAGGAAAAGGGGAGTTCTGTTTCTGCACCCCAAGGTGCTCGAGGGACACCCTGAGTCCACCCAGAGGCGAAAGCTCCAGCTAGAGGCGTCTGACCTTCCAAATATCCAAACACCCTCCCCAGGAGTGAGAATCTTCTTTTAAAAAAATATATTGTATTGATTTTTTACAGAGAGAAAGGGAGAGGGATAGAGAGTTAGAAACATCGATGAGAGAGAAACATCCATCAGCTGCCTCCTGCACACCCCCTACTGGGCAGGTGCCCACAACCAAGATACATGCCCTTGACCAGAATCGAACCCGGGGCCCTTGAGTCCGCAGGCCGATGCTCTATCCACTGAGCCAAACTGGCTAGGGC